TATAACGTTTTACCATGAATTTATTGGTTAAGCGGACTTATTGCCATCATCTGTTGGATGAAGGGCCTGTCAGCTTTACACCGGGGTTCCCCCCATTCATCTGAACTCTTCTCTACTTAATTTTGGACGAACTAAAATGGGGTCATTTAGTGCTTTGTTCTTCGCGTTTTCAATCGTCAGTCTGTCAGTTACACAAGGTGCTTGGACCTGTTCGTCTTTAATCGAGGAAAAAATGTATCGATCTACTTCTGTTCCCTGTTTGATAACGATGTGAGCTCATGTCTGTTAACGTGTCTTTGTGTATGCTGAGAAGTTTTTGTGTTAAAGCCGGCGCTGTTCACCGATGTGCGTTTGGGATGAGATTTTCTACATCAGCATCATCAAAATCTTAATGATGAATCACTGATATTTGTTATTGTATTTTTATGATTACCGCGTACTTAGAATAACCGTCATGCCTCAGAACAAGTTTGTTGCATATTATTCGTAAGCTTTACTTTTTTTTGTTGCTGGTTATTGGCATGCTTTGATTTTTACCGATGCGTATTTTTTGTGTTTGTGCTGTTTGTTCAAACGAAACAAGAAAACAGTTACACTGTATAGCCCTTAGAGCGAAAAAACGGTCTTGGTTACTGAGTGTGACTAAGATCTCAATTAAGTCACAAAGATCTGCCGATTACATAAATAAAGGTCAACAACTACAAGTCTGCCTGCAACAACTACGAGTAGGTATTTGCGGACACTTCCAAGATTGGATCTACATCTCAATAGTACGCCATCCTACCCCCTAACAAAGCATGCGTCTATATGGTAGTTTAGTCACAGTACGACGCGAGCAAATCCTCTTGTGTATGACAATAAGAAACTATTGACATAGGTCGTTCTAGCGACAAAAATTTGCACTCAACCGCTTAGGTACTCCTTAGGGACAAAAAGAATCGCACTACACCCCTTTTGTTATTTTAGTTATAGTTCCTGCAATTGCTCATGCAGAATCCATGACTCTACACTTCATCCTTTTTTGCTTTCCGAACTTTTTCAGAACCTAGAAGGCTTCCTCATAAACTAACGATAGTGTTTGACGTATCATCATGTTACTGTTTTAAACAACGTCTTTACTGTCTCTATAACTAAATCTTTTTTGCTTAATCTCACCTGCAGACGAGGCGGAGTTAAATAACGTTTCAACGACATTTGTCTACGTTTGTCTCATGTCGGCGGCACCACCTATACAGAGGTAGTTCTTATCAGGTCCCCTCGGCGTTAATAAGTATATAAAAACAAAAACATAATGATCTTCATCGTCGACTTTGTCTTCAACAAAAGCCTTCTTTTGCTGACAGCCTTTCCTTTCGTCCGTTCGCCTTTTCGTTTCGTGTGCGCAACTTCAGCCGGCTTCTTGTTATTTGATCTCATTCTGTGGTTTTAAGGTGCTCTTGTATTGCCTATGCTGCTGAGAGTTCTACTTTCTCCGGTTAAACCAATGATTTCCTATCGTTATAGGTTTTACTCATAATTGCAGCCCTTTACCTCTGCCAACGAGAGCGATCGCGATCTCGTCCAAAACTGTCGCGGAAACCTGCGTCCCCACGACCCCTCTCATCTCTGGCATCCTTTGTTTCCCGTGGTTCTCGTGACTCTCTGCTGTAGTCCCTCGAATCTCGTGAATCTCGCACTGAAGAATCCCTAAATAGCCGATGTGAAGCTGGCCTTTGATCCCTGCGGTCACGTTCGTAATCAGATCGATGGCCATTTTGCCTGTTGTCCTTTTCAAAAGACAATCGCTTGTGGCTGTTTCCGTTCACCCAGTCTTCTCGACATTTTCGTCCTTCGCCGCGGCTTCCGCCACCGCTTCCACCATTAGACGCTGTATTCCCACTATCTGTTGCTACTGTGGCTGTGGTTATTATCCCTTGTAAAGATGTGGATGTTGCTGATATTGCTGCTGTTGTAACTCTGTCCTCTTTTGACCGTTCGTAGCTCTCTTGACGACCGCTAGGACCCTTTATAATATCTTCAACCACTTTGTGGTTGAAGAACTCTTTGTAGTTTGCCAATGCGAGCGAGGCTGCCTGCCATTGCGCTTCTCTGCAATTATATGGGCAATATAATATACAAATTAAACGAGTATCTAAAGCGGAGAGAATAGGGAGCAATTAAAGTAGGGAGTGGACTTTGATGATGAAAATAACTATCTATATTACCTGTCATGCCTCTTATTCCTAGTAGATCTTGTTACAGATCAGTCGAGTGCAGCTGAGTAGCCTGAACCAAGTATCGTTTGGGAAGCAGCTTTTTGAAAAGCTTAGTTGTAATAATAATAGACTCACTTGATGCTATGTCCACTGGCGGTTGCCATTCGTCTGCCTCGAAAATAGACAGCTACGGTGTATCGTCGCGTGTTGGTGGGCCCACTGGAATCGATAACTTTGTAAAGTGGAATCTCAGGTTGACCATTGCTCATATGTCGCAAGGTTAGACAACATTGTTGTAGCTTCGATTTAGGATCATTCCAGTCTTGGTTGCGAATGAAATGTTCTAGACGCGGGAAAAATACTACTTGACAGAATCTTCGGCAGTAGTCTAGCCCCTTGTCGACGAAGAGAGCACCTAGGAACGCTTCAAGAATGTCGGCACGATCTTTTACCTTGAGACCGTTTTGTGATAACGGGTACATCGAATACTCCAACATTCCTGCAGCAATGAAACAAATTACAGCCCAATAATGATGCAGTTTTCTCTATAAATTGTGATGAGGTTTATTGAAAACAGATGCCCACTTTCGTCCACTTACCTAAGTCATCATGCACTACAGCCTGTGTGCGGTTGTTGACAATCGAGCTTCGGAGGAGCGAAAGATGCCCTTCATGATGTTCAGGGAAAAATTTGTACAGGTACTCAGAGGACACCAATTGGAGTACGGTATCTCCAAGGAATTCCAGGCGTTGGTTTGAACCACTACAAATCGTCGATTAAGAACGAAACTATTATAGCACTTCATGATTTATGCTTATATTATTACTGATAGGACGTTCAAAAGTAGGAATCATATTACTTATCTAAATAAAATTTTCTATATGAGTACTAATACAAATACTATTTTAGTACTAATAATACATTGTGATTATATAGCATTGCCATAATACGCCATACGACAGCCGGCGAAGTCATGTATGCCGTTCAAACTCACAGTGTGAGGTTGTTGAATCCAACGGAGCGATGGGTAAATGCCCTTGCGAGAAGTCGGATGTGAGTAAATTCCACGCCAATCTGCTTCTCGAAGTTTGTGAGTTTCTGAAGAACGGGATAATGTTCGATCCATCTCCGATCGCCATCTGGCTCTTGCAGCTGCAATGGGTGCCGGCGATAATTGCACCACCTTTCTAGAAGCTCGGCGCATTCCAAACCCCAATTCATTGCACGATGACCGCCTGCGTGTTGATTGGGTTAAATAATAATGAGAGCGCTCTTCGTTTTTGGAAACCAGTACTCTGGTTGCTGGGTTTATACATAATAATTAGTAATGGGATACGCCTGCACCTGATGGCGGGTTCATATTGTAGCTATCGTTGCAACAGTGATATACTTGTCTTGCGTTGAAAAAAACGACACCTGGACTAGATCGTCTGATTAGAAACTATTCACCAAAGATATATAAACAAAACAGACGAAGTCGGCGCCTGGGTATCGGAAAAAAATTTTCTAAACCGCCGTTCTGTTTGTCTTTATACATACTTGTGACCGTCGCACAGTTCGCGGTTGTAACAGCAGATGGTCTAAAAAGGGTCTCCCCGAAGACCCTGTCGACATGCTCAATACCATGGTCAAGAAAAATGGCCCCCATAAGTGCCTCCAAAGAGTTAGCCATAGCATGCTTGAGTTCGAGATCGTGGCACAGATCGGACCCGTGAGCATATAGCATGAACTCATCCAGTTGAAGTTTCTGCTCCAGTCAAGCACAAACGCAACAAAAACAATTTTTCTTATAGTATGCTTTCATTTCTTATTTGCTTGTTAGTAAAATTATCACCGTAAAGGGGGTTTTAACTATTGTTGTTATAAGCATATTATAACTGCTCACGAAATATTCATTACAGACCGCATGATACATTCCTTCTTAGGTAATTACCTTAAAATGCAACTCACATAGTCATCGAACGTCCATTAAGAATAGTTGCGCTTGATCTTACCCTCATGTTTGTTTTACGGAAGCCTGCACATTTTTTTTTATTTCATATGGTGTCCGTCATTATGGGCTGTTGGGTACCTTTGCTAGAACGGCGAGATGTTGATTCTGGACGATTGCGGCGCGATAGGTCGCCAGCCCACCTTCCTCAACATCGGGAAACATATGGAAGAGATGAATTGATGACAAGAACTCAATGACCGCGTCACCCAGAAACTCCAGTCTTTCATAGTGGTGCACAGTCGATGCCGTTTCAATATCCTTGGCCAGACGCGACATGATCGATAGAAGCATCTTGATACCTGGCAGCGACGACCCATCCAGATCGCAATATACGATCCACACAACACATACACACATTTCGCAGGAACACAAAACAGCAAAAAATCCGTCATTTTTGTTTTAGTGGCAAGCGACCCTTCACCATCATAGACGCTTCATGCGATAGATTTACAACTCCATTTTCTTCTTAGCCAGCAGCAATGTGGTGACATCAGTATAAAAGACAGTTAGCATCTGACAGAGAAGCAATCTAAGAAAGCTAGATATACAGAAAAAAAAACATCCTTCTGAGTGATTATAGCCCGAAAGATGGAAGTGTTTCCATGTTACCTAGTTCAGAGACACGCTGGACCCATCATGTCACTAGTTGTAACCCAGCGTTAATGCAGGTTGATTGTAAACTTGAATATCCACCGAGTGAAGTAGGTGCTGCTGGAGTAGCCACCTGAAAATCACCTGCCCTCAGAGTGCACTTTGACAAAGAGCACATGAGTTCAGAAGCTACTCCAACACTTACGCCTTCAATCCCACAGTGTCATTACGAAGATGAACCCGCATACGTCCCTATCGACCAAATCTCTATCTATCTCCAATAGTGCGTCTGACTGAAGCAAGAATGGGCAGAAGGCATTTTCGGGCCAGGGTTTGTTCTCGGCTGATTTTCGAGACAATCTTCAGATAAGCGGTTCGATATTTATCGAAGACTTTGTTTCATTATGTGACCAAAGGTGGGCGAACTGAAGACAATATACTCAACAGTCCTCTCCAGGTTTAGTCCATAACGGGTAATTACTCGGGAGCTGCGAAGGATCCAATAATGCTGGCTTGATCGACTTCACCGGGAATTGTTAAGTACATGTTATTTTTTTCCAATGCTTATTGTTATTGCAGTGTCTATGTCTGAACAGCCGCTACAAGGATAGGGTGCAAGTTGCGGTACCTTACATTTTCAGCTCCCCACAAACCGTAAAGCTAGTGCCAACGACACAGACACGGGTGGTTATATACACTGGTGTCTAACGGAGCTATAAGTGATGTTAGCTAAACGTAAAATGGAAGCTTAACCGTGAATATGCATTCGTCAGAGCCACTCAAGAAGTGCTGGAGGATCAAAGTCCAGAAATGTAATATAGTAAATGTGGCAAATCTTCACTATGCGTGGATATATGTATCTACATTTTAATCATTAAATTATGAGCTGTGATTTTTGTAGTAAGCCGAAGAAGATCGTAACAAATTAGGTTGATCTAAACAGTGTTAAACTCAATTGAGTAAAGTACAACAATCTTGTGTTCATAATATAAATGCATAAATAAACACTATACTTTGTAAGACACAAGCCAGATGCGTATTATGTTTATAATTCTTATCTTTTAAAGATAAGTGTTCTACAATTAGATTAGATCCTTTGCTGCTCACGCAAGAACTTGCCGATACTTCACAAGTACCTCAGTAAAAGAAATCTGTCAATCAAATTAATAGGATGCTTTTATATGTACTAAGCAAAAATCATTTTTTCTTGGGAGACGGAAGGATTAGCCCAACACGTGCTTTTCTAGTTGTTTTATTTGTAGCCAATATTAGGTGCCTGCATTTGACGTCTAGTATGCCGCTCTTGCAATGAATATTTAAATGAATTACTAATGAAAATTCCACAAGTGCCGTATTTGCGTGCGCCCATGCCGAGCCGAAATCCGCTGTACGTGTGTATGTAGCGCTGCAATATCAATTAACAAGTTTTATGGCTAACCTCTTTTCCTCGAATATAGGTAAAGTACCCTGCGATCCCCGTACTCCGGCTGACGCATTCCGCAGTTGGTCATTGAGTTACGCGCATGATCTGGATTGGTTCCGAAATTCTCCCTGTATGAGGGATGCGTAAGCGCCAGCTGGAATACGAAATGTAAGTTGGATACAAAAGCACAAAGTCAGATATGTAAGATTATTTGGCGACAACCACAATAGTAAGTATGCAGTTAAACTACGTTATTTTGTTCTGTAAAATTCTGTTCTTTCTAGTACAAACCTGTAACAGAAGTCGGTCATTAAATTTTAGCTTTAGGTTTTCTTCAAGCCTATATAGTGACCGATGGAAGCGAAGATGACCAATCAGTACTGGTACAACAAGCGCATGTTGCGCAACATCAGAGCGTAGTCCCGTTCGGTAAAAGCCTTCTGAGCTGAGAACGACCGTCACGTCGCGCTTGAGCTCTTGTGCCTGCTTCAAATCCTGCAACGCCTTCTCTTTTTTGGCCAATCGAGCCTTATCCTGGTAGTCGACTTTCGCCTTGGTGGCCAGGTACTTTTTGAGTTTAGTTAGCTCCTTAAGTGCTTTTTGGTATTTGGGATTGCCAGCGTAGCTTAGTTGTGCCGGTCGCATTCCAAAATGAACAATAACAGGGAACTGTGTTGAGTTCTCTAGCGACGGCTCGCGGTCGAGTTGATCTACTCGCAGTGAGCAGGGCTTCATACCAGGTCGTGTCACTAGCTGACCCTTGACCTTGGCCTCGACCATGTCAATCCAAGCAGCTGCGTCTAACTTCGCTAGTTTCGGAATCCCTTCACGCGAAACCAACGGGCGGTTGTTCTTGAGCAGGTGGCCGATTATCAGATTGAGCGACAACAGCTCCTTGCCTTTCTCCGGTAAAGGGCGCACAAAGCGCGGCATCACATGGAACTGCGGACAGCCTTCATTAGATGGCTGATCGTTTAGACGCCAATTGATGTCAACTAATTCCAGCAACTCCTTAAATAGATAGTCTGACAGAAGGTCGAGTCCCCGCACAGTGAAGTTGCTAGGGAACTCCTCAGGTATGTAAGCGATCAGGTATTCAATATTGTATCTGGAATATGACAAGTAATGAAAGAACTTATAAGGAACTTGCTTTTCTTTTTAATATTATTATTACTATTCTATTCTGAGTGCATAATATATGCCCCATAATGAGATACTTAGGCAGGTAAACGCCTCGAAATTTGCTCGTCTTTTAGATTTGTTTTCCTTCTTTAGGGGAATATACCTTATTATCCTGCATGAAGGCAGGTTGTCAGGTAGCTTGTAGTGAGAGAAGAGTGAGAATCCTTCGAAGATGAAGTCATGGTTGTCGTGACGAATTACCGTAGGGAAGCGTTTGAGCGCAAAATTTGTCCTCGGGGTGATGGCAACGCGGTAGTGGAACAAGCGACCGGCGTTGTTCGAGCTTGGATCGCAGGCAGGTGAGGGCGGCGCCTCTCCAGGGAATAGGTTGTGACGAATTCCCGTGCGTTTCGCTTTCACACTACACCGACAGAGCGGCCCATCATTCATCTGAAAAAAAAACAAAATCGTTATTGCAAAGCCACTAGATGAGTCAAACTCACTACTTAAATCCTAATAACGCTCGCTAATACGCCTCTTAGAAAACAAACTAATTTATCACTGTAACAGTCTATTAGATTAACCTTGTCCAATACGCTAACGTCAACTTTACCTCCCCGGGATCGTTGAACCAGAGCTCTTCGTGTAATCGATAAGGGTGCTTCTTCTTGAGTTCGAGTTCAGTGACGTTGTCCTCCTCTTCCGATGAACACCACTCGGTATCACTTGAGTCACTGCTGCTGTCACTTGACAAAATGATTCCAGTTTTTGTGCCATTTTCTTGGCGATTTTGTCGCTTCTGCTTCTTTTTATAATGCATGCAAATGTGTGGCTTTCTTTTAGGTCGCTCATACGGTGCCTGAGTAGATCGTGTGCGTTCAGCGCGCTTTAAGAGCTCCTCTTCGAACTCGGTTAGAAGCTTTTCAAAGCGTTCGGTCGATCGGGTTTCCTCCTTGCGAAGCTATCATGTAACAAAACATTTGTATCAGGTTAAGATATTTTGTTGAACTCGGCGAAAGGCTTACAGCGCACATACACAGAATTATTAGATTTAGTAACCAGCTTTTTTAAAAGAAAATAAACTTCTACAAAGTACCTCGTTGTTGTTATCTTTGGTAAAATAGAGTTCTGCTGGGCAACATCTTGTATAGGAAGCGATTTCCATTCGATAATCCTCTTCGGAGATCTCTTTGGTGCCCACTTCCCCCTCATCTGAGCTATAGTTGTCGGACGAGAAACGGAATTCCTTCTCTTCTTTTTCCTTTTCTCGATCCCTTGCCCTATCTGATTTAATGCTCCGATGATCTCGATGTTGTCTCGAACCTGTCCTCGGAGGTAGAGGCGGCTGGTGACGATAGTGCGAAGAGTTGCGCTCGTTCGGTGTGGTACCGTTAGTTTCTCTACTATTTAGCTTCCTGTAGCTGGCCGAACGTGATAACGGGCGCCTGGATCGCGAGTCATGGTGACTTCGCGGGGGGCTCCTTAAGATGATTCACGATAAAGCAACAGAAACAGGTATTAGCGCATACTAGGGAGCGTAATAAACGCATTATGAAAAATTAATGTTAAATTAGAGTGACAAAGGCACACATATGCTTAATATAAGTGCACTTACTTATTATTTACTCGATGGCTCGAGCTTCGATGGCGCTCTGCGCGACAACTCGGGCTTCTTGATCGCTCGATCTTTAAGGGCCTCTTCAATGGACTTCTAGAACGGTTCGACCACCGTGATCCACGACCCGAAGGAGACCTACGGGATTTAGAACGACTCCGTGAGCTATAGCTAGGTTCCCGTTTACTGAAAATGTTGCACCATCGACAAAATGAGATCAATTACGTTTTTAGAGATTGTGTATAAAATTATACCCTACCTGTAAAAATAGCGAATACCGTGCGTGTGTGTGAGAGTGGAATAAGATCCAACTTAGAGGAGTTGGAAAATCGCTCCGAATATTACGTGCATTATTATTTATTATACTACTAGGAGGTATGAACCTCCTAGTAAAATATACCGAAGTAAATATGTTGTCCATTATAAATCAATGATACATAAATATTATGATAAGCATATAATTATAAGATAATAAAATACATTCTATTTATTTCTAAAAGTCACATTTTGAGGTTAATGTCGGCGTAGTTGTTGTAGTCTGTTGATGATATCCTGTAAAGGCGGCTATTCGGATGATGATTATTATTTTGCAGTGGTCCGGAGACGGTACAATCTACTTTTGAGGCCACTGCATTTCCATCGTAGCGCAAACGGGCATCATCAAAGCGAGCCAGTTCATTATCCCGCGGAACCGGGGTTCCAGGTACAACTTGCAGAAGTGACGATGGACTTGTAACGGGAACTGGAGATATCAGTGGTAGCGAGCCCACAGTTGATATAACTGGAGAAGCCGATGGCGCCGGTGTCCAGAGACCAGCTAGTGCGCTGCTCGTGGGAATATGGCCGTCAGTTACGCCTATAAAAAAAACGAGTTAACATTATTGTGACGTACAATGTCGCTACGTGGTCTAAAAACCTTAGTTACTGTCGTTGCTATATACAATTAAAGGGTTAAAAAATGTAGGTGAAACTCGACATCCCAAAAGAAGGTTACGTTTCTTACAGGCTGATAAACATAATTACGATCGTACATTACGGCGCTAACTAGTGAAAGAGACGCAAAACTACAGCTTTGTATCCATAATCCAAATAATAGAGTAAGCATTGGCATAATGGATATAAATGCAATATCAAAAAATTGTATTCGTTATTATTAGTCTCCTCCATAATATCTTTAGTTTACGTTTCTAAAGTTCGAGTTCGCGATAGATAAATACCTGCCGCTGCGGCTGCTACAGCTGCTACAGTCGATGCTCCATTACTGTGCTGTTGTTGTTGCACCTGTTGCTGTTGGTGGTTTTGTGGTTGCAAATGCTGCATCCGTTGTTGCATTGAATGCTGAAGATTCAATTGTAGGTTAACATTGGCAGCGGCGGCCAGACCTGGTAGATGTTTCCCAACGACGCCATTTTGCATCATCATGTCATTCATCATTTGCGGATACATTACGCCCGCAGCCGCAGCTCCCATGGCGGCGGCGCCCATACAACCGCCAGCAGCCGCCATCGTCGCCTGGTTGACGGCCATTGTTGCCGGATGATGGTGCCCGGCGGCAGCTGCAGCCGCATTGAATTGATTATTAACGACGGCTGCATTAAGACCAGCCTGTACCGCCACATCCGGCGATACATGTACTAGTGGCATTCCCATACCGCCTCCTACTGCAGCACCCATACCGCCCATACCAACGATGCCAGCGCCACCAACGCCCAGATGTCCAAGGTGATGATGGACGCTGCTCATCGTGCTCATTTGGCCGACGCCGAGTTGGGCCGCTGCAGCAGCCGCTGCCATGCCACTAATTCCACCCGCTACACCTGCAGCTAAGAGACCAGGCGGACCCAATAATGTCGCAGGCAGTGTATGAGCCTGGGGGGGCTGGTGTGATCCAGACGCGGCCATCTGCTCGAGAAGACACGGCTGTTGCTGATGTTGACGCGGGTGTTGCTGTGGTTGCTGCTGTTGCTGACTGTGTTGCTGCTGTTGTTGATGGTTGTAGTGCTGTTGCTGATGATGCTGCTGGACACCAGCAAGCCAGCGGGAGGTCGCTGTGTGGGGATGCTGACTGCTGACGCTGATGGCTGCGTCGACAACAGCCGCATCTACGAGGCCGCCGTCGCTGTTCTGTTTATACATCTGCGAGAAAACAAAATCAAGAAGAAAGTAAAGTTTAGGACTATAGCTTGAATTAACTTGAAAAACTTATCCATGTAATATAATAAGTAGCTTGTGGGGCCTCTTCCTTGTCCGCTTACGTTCACATGCAGTGGACGATGACGATAGAATTGCCCTAATTAAGGGTACACAGGCGGTACTGCTTGTGACAACTTCACTTTGGTGTGGATATGATAAAGCGTGTTATATAATATAATAAAAAAAAAAATTACTAGCCAATCTACACGTACATAGTCACTCACATAAACTTATAGCCGTGAGAAACAATAGCAAGCAGTTGTGTAGAAGACGTACGACAGACACACATATTATTATTACTATTATTATGATAAAAATTAGTCATAGGAAATTGTGGCTGTTGAGCGTAAAATCTTGTCAGTTAAACATAAATTGATCTGACTCATGCTATATATCATTGGAGGTATTTGCATGGCGACCATTACGATGTAATTAGCCGCAAGGCCTATCATAAGCACATTATTTATTAATATGAGAACGTTTAAACTACGGAAGATGATGAAGTTAAGTTAGACATGTGCAAACTCCAATAAGGGAAACAGTGTCTGCAAAACTGCCATAAGCATTCAGTTGTTGTAGCAGATAGTCAGCAGCTTTTACGAATGGTAAAGGCCCATAGACGTTCTGATTAAATCTAGCAAAGATAAAAACGACACTTGGGTTTTTTTTTGTAAGCGCCGATTACTGGAACTTCTCTAAAATAGAGTCTAATAAGCTGTTTTTGTAACACTACCCTAAAAACAACACCGGTAAAATAACATTGGCTATAGTTCAAGGAAAGCCGTCTTTAACTTAGAATATAACAATAATTAGAGCGCTATATACTCCGTTTCATATTGACAAACGTTCTAGGTAAAGTAGAAAAACAGTGTAATTTTTTTAATTTAAACACCACCCAAAAACTTTGACCTACGTATATAACAAGGCAATTCCAGGAGCACGTACCTTATTGAGAACAGGCCGATGAGTGAGTCAAGTGCGCTCACTCAACTTTTTACACATCAAATAAGTACAACAAGTTTTAACAAGCTATTGCTAAAACTTGGTGTACCTATTTGGTGTGAGCCTAAGTGAGCATAGAATCAAAATCATTGTGATTTTGTGATAAAAGTCGTACCTAGATTAACTTCACAATAATGACAGCCTAAACACGCATAACACACACCCTTGTTATAATTAAACAGGCGGCGTATTTAAATGTGCTCCTTCCATTTCATGTTGCCTTGATAAAGCCACTGGAGGTACCCAGTTTTAAAGGGTAGTTTCTTTAGCAAACAAGTGCAGTTGCGTAACTTTGTTTTGATATAGCTTTTTTTCGAAAATTACTCGAAGCATAGCTTTAGATCGATTAGTTTACCCAGTCCGATTTACTCTACTGACTTAACTACTGTAAATTAGACGAGTGTAACTATAACTGTTATCGTATATATGGCTTCCGTTTATAAAGCCTCATTGAGAGCTACTCCAACGCTAGTCTCACGCAAATTCAAAGAAACATGTTCAGTTCATCAGATTCGAATCACTCTTCTTGAAGCCCTATCGGCAACAGCGCAGAGTTGAATAACCACCATAAATTTTATGTCCAAAGAAGTTCCATTTCTTTGACTTCTTCTGACTATCTAAATTCCGCACGTGTCTTTAAAATTAGCTCATAATATCGATGTGCCTTTTACGATATTTATGCTCAGTACCACCTATATGTTTTGGGGTCTACGTTTGGTACTCAAGCCGTTAAGTATTCCTTACTGACGGCTGGCTCTTAGCACGGAACGAAGTATGTCTACTTCTGGGTTCGAACCCAGACCATCACATGTCCTCAAGTTTAGTAGGCGAATACATTAGCTACTGCACTACCATAAAGACCATTTATACAATTTGGTGTAGCAAAATCGCACCTATGTATCAAACTCCTATCTTCGTTCTGTACTAGCAAATCAGCGCAATTCATAAACGTGGCTTTATCTTTGTTGCACATCGATTTAGTGCACAATTGAGCTTGGCACTTCGGCACACGAAAGAACGGACAAGAAGGAATATAGGAAATCATTTATTTTTAATGAGTGACAGAAAACTCTGTCCAATAGCCATGGTAGATGGAGTCAATAGTCACCAATAAGCAGATCTAGAGCTGGACTAGAAGGCCCCGAAGGGGCCGCCTATTTCGCTGCTACACGAACCTATGGGCGCCGCCGTGACCTTCCACAAAACACTTCCCCTAGCCCGCAGTCATCTCCAACACCTCCTGCTCACTTAGAGCCCACCGCCAGAAAAATGCCTTTTGAAAAAGGTTCACTCCACAACACAACGTCGCTCACTACCTAGAAACAACAGAACATCTACAGAAAAAAAGTCGGTAATTCGGCTAATGTTTATCATGTGTAGAATGATGATCTTTGACACCCTGAGCGTGTGACCGGGGCTTCGGTGAAGTGCTTTCGCCACTACAGCGAGCAGACTGAACCACAGGAAAGCTGCGCCAGGGGCGCGCGCCAATTTTCAAATCCTTACGCTCAAAAACTCAACGCAATTGCACTGCGTCTTTCCCGTCTGTTTGCTGTATAGCTTGCGTACTTCCTTTGGATGGTCTTTATTGGTTATGCCTGATATATCTATGCAGTAATTTAACGATGCCTCTACAACCTTGAGAAAATACTGTATTAAATGCTAAAGTTAGTAATTATAATCACGTGGGTGAATAGATTAGTTGCTAAATGTAAATTCGAAATGTTTCTATTTCACTTTATGTAAGAAAACGTTTATCGGGTTCAATTTAGAATAATGCAGGCTTTTTAGTTATTTCTGCTGCTAGGTGAGTGTTAAGAAGCGAGTAAAGAAAGTTATTTATATGCTTATTTAAGAACAACATCAATTTAGTAAGACGTATCGATATGATGACAAATCAATGGCTACGCTGATAAAGATACGTAGAGAGACATCAGAAGATTTTGAAAAATGTGCAAAAATTGTGGTAGATTGGATTGGAATTCGCCTATCGGATCGAACCGCACGACTTCAGTCGCTTATGTCGTTTTGTGGCTGGGCAGGTCGATAGGCAGCACAGACTGACAACTATTCACGGTGATAATTGTAAGCTGACTCTTTATTTAATGTATTCATTCTATTTGAATAAAACAGCGATCGTGTGTGGATCAAATGTACTTATCTCTCCATCATTTCAGAGCGCTCTGGAAGCGCATCACGCCAGTGACGCAGCTCGCCATTAACAACACATTGTACATGTGTCGCTAAAATACGCGTCTATGCTTTATGATCAGAAGTAGGCCGTATCGATTATTGTACATATTTTTGCAATACTAAATACATGCTATCACATAATTCATTTTGTCGTAACTATATATATTTTTCTCTCAGTGTTTACACATTCGTGATGCTAGAAAATCCAACAAATACAAATATTTGGAAAAATTTTCATGGTTTCCAATTTTTGACAAAACTACAGGGTGATGAAATCGCTTTTTGTTAACGGGGAAGGTAGGTTGACAGTTAATAGTGTTTAACCTTTACCATTTCAACAATTTCCTCAGCTTTCTTTTGCTTTTTTTGATGCACGATACCATGCTAATGTCACAGGTAGAAGTTAGCTATAAGGATTCAAAAGGTGAACATTTTAAGGGTTTGCTAAGCTTCTATAATAGACAATCCACGAAGAGACATTTCTTCTACTGCATGCTGCTGGGTAGGTTTTTATGTGAGCGTAGGGAGCAAGACAGGAGCGGGTCGTGATAGGCCCTCCCGCCCGTGCACAGCAGTCATCTAAAACATGCTGAGGATTAGAACGTTAAATGCAGTACGGACACTCTTCAGTGATACCAATTTTTGCAGTCACCAGTGAACAGCCTCGCTCGGCCATACGCCAAAAATCTCAATGTTCCTCTTTGGGTATTTGCTCACGGGGATTATGCCATTCACGCTCCTCTCATTCTTATGGCTATGGTCACCAGAGATCTAGACATAGTAATGTCGACCAATCTGGCTTTCAGTGATCAACTCACATACAAACTTCGTTTATAATTGTCAATATAATTCATAAATGCTTTGTTATTTGGAGTTCTTTAGTATATGTCCGCCTATACGGAACACTGCTTCTTCCTAATTCGCTATAATGCTGCTCCATTTGTATGATCACACACACGTTTAGAGATATGATGATCTATGGAGCAGAAACCGCAGTATATGTAGTGGAATTCGTCTTTAGATATAAAGACGAACTTATTAATTAGAATTAAATAGAATAAACTATTCTAGATTGTCACGTATTTAAAGCAGTCGAACAACTACAACTTTGTAATGTTTGTATGTTACATTGATTTTTCCATTTAAATAAACCATAGCAACTAGACGACTTCTAAAGCTCTAGACACCTTAATCGGAGCTTGCATGAATTTGTTGGATAGTTTCGATGAGTCGTTGTTTTTGTACCTTTATCACTTAACACTGTTTAGTCAACTTATGCATCATAGATTATCCGTTTCACGCTTTTGTTTCTCTTTTTTGATGTTGCAGTTGCCTCTCCAAGGCACAAAGTTTTTCACCACCAACGCTTCGCTGCAATTTCGGCTTATATCAACTATGGGAAAAATATTTTGTCAGATTTTAGAGCCACCCGAAGGAACAAATGGAACGAAATTGAACACAGTTATCGAAGAAACAACTTTGCGCGAGGGTCACGCTTTTTTCGGCAGAAGGCGATGGTCATAGCTAAGATATGGCAGCGTCCGCGGCTAAGGACAATAGAAAATGGTTTGGTATTCCTATGGAGAACTACTGTTAGTCCAAATTTGTTTATGTCACAGACTCAACAACACGTTTGCTCTACAAGCTCAGAACACAATTCGAACTACCTTCGAAAGAACAGTGACACCCCATCTTCAGACATAGACAATGGCAGCTTTTGCATAGAACGCGGTCATATTTTTTGGCGGAGTTTGATATGGCCCTTTGGGTATCCGTCCTCTTGAACCTCTTGAAATTTCAATTAGGCAGACATGACATCAAATAGATCTGTATTGTTCAGGGAACTCCTGAAGGAGTTCTATACTAAATAATTGAATTGCTAAAATCGAAACTTTGACCAATAGGCACTCGTGCCTTGTGTAAAATCTTTGAAAACTTTTCGGTCTTTAAAGGTCCTCTTAGTACACTAACAGGAAGTCGGTAGACGAAAATGGAAAGTGGCATAGGTTCACCGATACGTTCCATGACTCATTAAGACACTCGAACAGTGGGATACGGTTTATCAGTAAGACAGCTACCCAGAAACTAAGAAATCGTCCTTTCTGTGTTTAAAGATAGTAATTATTTGTTAAAAATCGCATACGTTACAGATTATTCGCGTAAAAAATAGCTAGAACTTACAGCGAATTGATCGTAAGGGTCTGTTTCTCTGCGGACAACTAGGGAATTGAAATCTATATATATATATGTATATATATATATATATATATATATGGGTTGTTTCATGCCAGTCATTACCTCAATACATCCTATTCTCTTAATCTTCAACTCCTTGCCTTAGTGAACTGAACGTTGTCATACAACGTTGAAGACGTTTTTGACTGACATATATCTTTGCACATGTTAGGCCGATCAGAGAGTGGACTCGTTTTCTCAGCTCACTTTGCATATTGTTAACTTCTGAAAGTGACCAACCTTTACTACTAACGTTGTTTCTTTAGCATTACATGACTTTGTTACACCGTTCTGGCACTAAAAAAGGACGAAGACGATGTCCTTCAGGCCGGGCCGAACAGATGAAGTCTATTAAAAAAAATTTGGACTACAAATCGGGTACAAAAGAGTTTCCCATTTTTGGTTTGTCAAATCTCCTCGGGTCGTCACAGTCACACAGGCTCTAACGTCGTTATTCAACGAAATAATTTTGTATCGTTTCTAATCTTTTCAGGATCTTTTTTAAAATAAACTTTTCAGTCCGACGACCAGGTTCAGTTCTGATGCGCCATTTTACTGAATTTCAAACGACAGAATAGCTTTTCCTATACTAATAAAATGTTTGAACCATTGTTTTTGCTCATCTTTCTATCCTTAATACTGATAAATAGATGTGATTTTTGTTCCGTTAGTACTGTCGTAGGCAATGGCCCTCTCACTGAGTTCACCCTTCCCTGATCTCTTCGGATTCATGCTTATAAACCTAAGACGAATACTTATTCACTGAAGCCTGCAGTTCATCGACATTCGCTTTTAACGGCCATCTAATGCGTAAAGTGAGATTTAGGTTGAGATTTTCGGCGTTGAAATGTTAGCAGACGTCGTCACATGGTGCCTTGCTGAATCCTCGTTATTTTAGCTGCACGCTCACCAGTAAGGAAGTAATATAGAAAGCCGCTGGGTGAGATATGCACTTACTTAGAACCACGCTTTGGTTGGAGACAGAACGTATTTAGCTAAAATATAAATAGTGCAACAACCAATGTACGGTTCAAGTTAAGAGAAAGGATATGCTGAGTTTCAAACCAAATGTGTAACGATAATATTTGCATAGAAAAACTTCAACGTTACCAGCAATTACTTTCCGATTGGTCAAATTATAAATCTAAAAGAGAAACCACATTGCACAAAAGCGGATTCTACTGTATATACATATATATCTATGTACGGATTTATAAATTGGCGGGCAAACGACAGAGCCGCTGATCCAGCGGACTTTTCCACGTTTCTGAACATTTTTTTATTATTTGTTGAAAATTCAGTGATAAAAAAGCCTGTTCTGAATATCAACATTTACAGTCCTGGATTGTGAAATCCTTGAGGCGTATATGCTACTCCAAAGTTTTTTTTATTCATGCCCATATTAGATATTCGATATTTTGGGCACGTTTTAAGGTTGTCATCTAAGAGGGCTTAAAATTATTTTATATAAGGAAACCTTTGAGGCGGTCTTATTATAACTTTTAGGACACCGTTAGGAAAGTCATGAGGTGCGTGTCTTCAGTCGCATAGCGACGGATCCTTCATATTTGTCATTCTGGCCAGCATTATTGGCGTTTTTCCTCCTCTTACCAGACATCTCGACCCCTAAAAGGCCCAAGGAGAAGTGTGAAATGATCGCGCTTAAGTAATTAATCGAAATTGCTGACTTGTGTAGATTCATATGGCCCCTAGCAGGATTCGCATATGCAAATGTCATCGCGCTGATTTCATATATATTATAGGATTCGCATATGCAAATGTCATCGCGCTGATTTCATATATATTATACGAGCTGTTAATAATACAATATAAAAAAACTATTATAGTACCAAAATTAGATGCACGAGAGGTGTTTCCTATCCTAGACCTAATTCGGTGTGGGCTGGAATAGCTAAGTGACGCTAAGTAGTAAGTCAAATTATTGTCAGTATTGGGAATTCCCTGTCGACCCATCTACGAGGCTGCTGTCCCTGATTTAAACATGAGGTATGCAATGTATAATGCTTAATTAGTTAAGCGTTAGATATAGTCGTATTAGGCTGTAAGAGTATATAGTGTAGGTAGCTAGTTATAAGTTTACTGATTTGTAGGTTCCCACCTTGCACATTAAAATCATCCTGAACGAATTGCAGAACTATGAACTAATATGTTGTACGGGTATATCACTAGTATCGCTTTCAGCATTCAGACTGTAGGGGAACCAAATTCGACCATGTTTCAGTGTCTGCTACCGTCTGTTCAATACCCGTCAAATATAAGGGAGAAAGGAGGAACTTCACTGTTATCGGTCGTCCGAGCATCAGGTGCCAGCACGGTGCGCTTCGAAGGTAAACTCCTCCACCCAAGTTAGTGCAGCAGCAGTAAATCAGCCTGCAGCTGGGCAGGCAACCTTTTAAGCACTGGGATGTTGCCACTTTTACTGTTGCTGCTGTTGCTAAAGCTGCTGTTATCAGCAGTGGTATAGTTATAGCCGTATGCTCGGAAGTTGCTTGTTTAGTTCGTGGTGTCGGTGTAGTAGCTCCATTTCCGTTCTTTTGCTTGACGTTTGCTGAACCAGAGTCTGGCAGTCGTTCGAGCTGCTGCTGTTTTTACTAGCGGCAGTGCAACGGCACGAGCAGAAGGTCGGTCGGTTGGTCTGCCGCTCCGTCGACCGCGACTCACGAAGCGTGAAGTCGAGTAAGCGTGGCTCGACGCGGTTGGTCCTCAGTGGCACACCCGTAATGAGCAGTGAGTGGTGTGTTCCGCTGTTTGCTGGCTTCAGCTCTGGATTTGGTGACGGTGTTTGTCTTCGGCTGCGGTGTGAGAGTGAGTGAGTGTGTGGCGCACTGCGCTTTGCGGCACGATGGCTGGCTGGCGTTGCGCTGAGCGTTGCCTAGCGTCCATGACAACACTGAGAACGACGTTCAGGCTTTCAGCGACGCTCCAATAGTTCCATGGGCGTCTATTTGAGCCAGGCAGTCTAGCAGCCGGCATCGGTGTTGCCTTTAACCGCGGTGCGGGCTACAATGATGGGTATCGAAACGAGTACCGCGGCAAAAGCGATACTGTTGACTGTGGATCACGGTAGCGACAATGGCGACAGACAACGGCGAACACTAGCGAATGAGTTAGCTAGTGCGGAAAAACCGTTGTCAGAGCGATGAAGGCAGATAAGCAGGCAGGTAGAAAACAACAGGAAAGAGGGCTAGCGAAACAGCAATAGAAACTGCAGTAGCGGCTACGCCGTCAGCGGGGGCAGCGGCAGGGCAGAAGAGAAGTACGCCAGTCCTTTTTTGTTCTGGCAGTGGCTGTCTGTTTGTCTGTATGTGCGCCGCTCTTGGCTCTGTGCACACGTCGCGTGTGCGGGAGGGAACGGTGCAGGCAGTCAAGTAAAGGACAGGACAGCAGCTACTGACGTTCTGCGGCCACACTAGCAGCAGCAGCAATAAATGAAGAGGTGGCAGCAGCTGGTGTTCAACTTGGTTGTCTGGCGTTTCGGTGGCACTTGAACAGCATAGCACAGCACGGTTTGTTCTTGTTCTCCTTCGCATCCTGATGCTAGCGGTTCCGTTGCAACAGCATGAGTAGACATAGCAGCTATTCGTCACTAATGCTTTTCTGCCTTCGTTGTCGCCGCTTGCTATTGGGGCTCGTTCGCTTCTGCCACTGGTGTTGTCGGTGAACGGAGTGAGTGGCTGCAGAAGCGGTCGCAGCCCGCCGTCACCGCACCGTGTTCGCTGCCGGTTCCACGACCGTAAACACAACGCCGGCGTTGCTGGCGCTACTGCTGCTAACTACCATCACCACCACGACGACCAGCGGTAGTATTACCACTGTTACTCTCTCCGAGTTGTGGCTCTTTTCGTTGATCTGCGTCCCACCGTCTTCCAGCGCGTTGTAGCCCGTACCTATCGACTGCTGGACCGCCGGACACACAGACGGGCGGACAGACGACAGGCGAACAAACAAAAAATACCATCAACACATCATAGCCAGCTACAGCACTGCTCGTAGTAATATAGTAATACATGCGACAACCTGTAATGATCCCAGGATAGATCTATAGCGGTGGCAGTAGTCAGCAGTGATCATCATAACATACCGGAATAGTGGCACTAACGAAAATTCACCTTGGTAAGCCCGCCGTTGATCCGAGCATTCTGCGTCCTATGTGATAATCTGTTCGATATGTCTGTATATCATTGGTACTATCATACCAGGTTGAGTTGTTTTTGGTGTATTTAGGTTCTTCAGAGTTGTGCGGCGGTCTACGGTTCAGGACATACGGTATAGGCCGACATCGATGGCATTGATTGCTTGTTGGTTCCAATTCGAACCGCTCGCCGTTTTAGCCCGCCCTACTAGACGTCACCCAGACCTTGTGAACGTAAAGGCTACCGTCAAGCATTAGCACTAGCCTGAACTGTGTACATACTATATAGCCAGAGTGTGTGTAATATCTGTTGCTCGACGCTCAGCCAGCAAGAAGAATCGTTGTTACGACTGATACATTTCATAACGTTTCGTACGGACCCAACGAGACGGAGAATAAAAAACCCAAGTAGAAGAGAATACGGGGGAGCAAACGAGTGTATGTATGAATAGCTGTGTATGTGTACTCAGCAAGTTGATACGGCAGAAGAAACGCTCTGATAAAACGTTAACGGTGCGAATAGGGTCAAAACACGTTTCGGAACTTAATTTTTGAAACCCGCATGCATATTGAATCATTGCTAAAGGATACTAGTATTCTCTGACAGGTAACTTACCGCCAGCTGATACGTGCTTGTGTTTACCTCTATGCTTTATGGTTGTTCATTATTCATTGTTAATTATCTCGTTGCTATCTTTTATTCACAAGATTGATCGATTAAAAACGGAAGGGAGCAGAAACGGAGAGAGAGATAGAGACGTCATTGACGTGAGAGTATCGTGCCATTGACTGAGTGCTACGGCGCTGGCTCATATTAAAAGAAAACTCTTTTTAAAAAGCTTTATTGAATATTCACAGAGATGGAAAACAACGAAGTGTGCCGTGCATCATATACTCATAGATAGACTGTCCATGTAACAGCCTTCCTCTTGTAACTCCGCTTTATCTGTTTTGCCTTGTCGGCATATCAGGTACATCAATACGTGACCTATCCTAATCGCATGGCGACGAGAATGTTCGTATCGTCTGTATGATCATAATGGACCGACACTCCCAATGGATACTTCAGCATCCCTTCTCTTGGAGTGGTCAGCGGCAAACACAATGAGGCCGTTCAGGGGGCAGCTAGACGCCGTAAAGGTTGTCTCTACTAGAGAAAAGCAAAAATGTGTGAAGCATAGAGAATAGCAAAGGTGTGACAACAGTGTGACGTTATATATAGTGACAGCTTGCCTGCTATTACATCGACGGTAAAAGAGGTGTGGCTGAAGTGATGGGCACGCAGTGGAACGTTCAAGAGTCCACAAAAACGCACATACCTGCACATCCAGAGACACAGATTGTTGCATGTACACACTGACAAGGTTATCTGTCTTTAATTATACATAGAAAAGTGTTATATACAACTAAAGCAAATGGACATCGCAATTTTCAAGCAATCGCAAATGAATTATCAGGTGCCATGTATTCTCAAAGCAAACAGTGGGCCAGATGAACCCACTTAGTCGGATATACCCTATTTAAGAAAAAACGAAACATTAGAATACGGTGCACTAACTAAAGTATTAGTGTGTTATACGAAAGCTGGCTAGATTGTTGTAGCTGAAAAAATCTCGTATTATCAATGATACCGTAAAGTAATGACATATTACGGTACATGCTAATTAAAGTTAACAGTTTCCGATTGCCGGGTAGTTACAAACTGGTTCATGTGTGATCTAAACGCATTAACAGTAAAAGTGACAATGGTTGGTCTACGTCGTCAATGAACGCCAGCAATGAGATGAATTTCCATATTTGTAGTAAGGAATCATGCACACGCTTATATCTTTTCGCTTGCAACGTTAACATATTGAAATCATGACAATCTTGCAGCAAGTGGCCCGAAACATACGATACTTTAATAATTGCAGTTCCAGAGCCACCCTAGAACGAACGTATCATGGGTTGAGTTGAGTCTATTTTTCGTTTGGCATTTTGATAGAAATGCTCGAGAGAGTTCGATCAACGTTACAAATCACAAAACGTTTTTTAAGTGAACATAGTCGTATTCTATGCACTGCGCCAAAAATTATTCATGAAGGTATATATTAGTCAGGCTATAGCAGTCGATTTGTCCTTTTGTGTACCGGCGTAATTAATACAGAAGTTACAATTCTATACGATTCATTTATATAAACTCGGCAAACAACTATTGGCAAAAATGATGTATATGCAAGTGATGTTGAAAAAAGAGCCGGTAAAATACTTCATGCGCTTTATGGGCACATTTCTTTAAAACATCATAGGATATGGTAAGGTTTTATCAGCCAGCAGTTACCATGTAGGTAATTGCCGACTCTTCCGCGTGGGGTTAAATATATATGCTACATTCGTGTTATCCACTAGGATTGATCAGATGAGCACTGTAACGCCTCATAATTGGGGCTGGGGTGGAATGATAGCGGTTATTTAACAGCCGGTAATCTTAACAGTACGTGCTGTAACTCTGTCTGCCGTCACGTAAACTGACGTGACGGTACATTCAATAATAAAGCGCACACAATTCACAAATCGTCTGTCCTTTAAATCCGTCCAGCAAGCCTTGGTGTTCTGTCCGTGCGGGTTAGAAAACAATATATTGTGCGTCTGCCAAAATCTCTTTGAGTGAAACAATAACTAACAGGAAAAGTAGAAGGCAGTCAAGAAAGACGCTAATCTCTCTTTGGCACAAGATTTCAAGTACACGTTTTTTGTAAAAGGTTCCGATACCATTTTCGAGTTACTTGGAGTCTTCCAGCCATAAATCTCGCGTACTCCTACAACAGAGGTCTCCAGCGAGATAGCTGAGCTAGCAAGAAACAACTCGAACTTTCCTCTATTCTGATCGAATTATACTGTGCCATTGTTCATGTGAACGTCATATCTACTTTTGGATAAAACAAGAGTTAACTAAGACTGATACATCCTAAAACGGCCCTGAAAGAATCAATGAGCGCTCGCACATTGCCATACCTAACGCTGTTCCCGATAATAATCGTCAATATGCGAAGAGCTTTTTCGCGATTACCACATGATGGCACAACGCGATGAACATACGATGCAATAAGATAACTTGATGTTTTCACGTTCCGTGACTACTCACAAGCAACAGCTGGTCTACAGTGCTTTTTGATATTCGATCTCAATAAAAATAGCCATAATAACATATCGAAGTGTCGGAATAGTGAAAGAGCTAGGTAGGGTTCCCATTTAAATATATTCAAATTCGTTTAGGGCCCGCTGAGGCCCTCCGAAGTTACTAGATCAGCTAATGTCCTGCCTGATTTAGAGACAGCATGCTGCAGCTGCAGTGCGTTCGGTCACTCTTTCTTTTTCGAAATTATCGTGCATCTTTACGGTGCCATTATAGCGTTAGTATTCCAACGGCGACAAAGCCGGCGGCATTACTGCCAAAGCGATACACGATGACCGTACACTCGGGTTGCCGAGCGATGCGCCGCGTTGTTGCCGCCTCTATAAATTCCGATTCCTGCTGTTGTTGATGATGATGCTACCCAATCGATTCTGGCCGTGTCGTCTCCGCCGCTGATGGTGGCGGATGCTTTAGATCAGAAGCCAACCGCAACAATGCAAGTTCTCTCGATAGGGAAAGCTCGCTAGCTGTGGCGTGCACTGTTGGCAGTCTGCTCCAATGTCTTCTGCTCCAGTGTTGTTCTGGTGCGTATGTGAGCGAACCCAACGGAACCACCAAGAACAAGGTAAAAGCTGATCTTATCGGGAAGTCTACCATGCTGGAAACATGCTGCCATAGCAACTAACGAAAAATAAGAGCAACTCCAGTAACGCTAGTTGGAAGGCAGCATGCGGCAAAGTGATACAACAGCCCCGGTGGGGGTCTGCAGAAGAGAATCGACATTATTTCCAGTAATAATCAGAGCCAGCTACTTTGTTACTGACTGCACTTTGCGGTGCTATGGATTTGCTTCAGATAACACAAATGTATATACATACAATATGCTGATATACACATCAAGCTGTACAAATGCTACGAATAAAAAAGCAGTGGGTTAGCTTTTCTATGAGAAGGAGCCAATCTGCGTAGAGGCATCGTCGGGCAGGTGGTGATGGTAACAATATTCAACAAAAAGGAAAAGATTGAAGGGGAAAACACGAGGAAGATAATAAGATAATTCATTCAAAGGCAGGGTGGCCCGGGTATGAGCTAGCTACCGGCAGCGAAATCAGTGAATGTCAACGTATTCGAATGTATTCTATGAATAAGGTCGCGTTTCTTGTGAAGATTTTACTTTGACTTGTAGCCCAAGGATTGCAGCCAAGGACAGTTCCAGCAAATTAGCTGAGGCGTTCGACATTTTATGTAGACATCGAGAATAAGTTTTACAGTATCTCAGTTCTACAATTAGCATTCAGGCTAGTCTTTAGTCGGGTGACACCTTCTCACATCCCCATAATGTACAGCAAAAATTCCAATATGATCATACAGAACGACAAATGTATGTGTAGACATTGCGCTTTTTAACGAGGTTTTATTTGTAACAACCTCTCATGCAGGATACCGCTAGCAGCGAAAGAATGAAGCCAGCTCGAAACAACGACTTCAAGTAACCGCTCGCAACACAGGTAAGTCCTTATACATATATATATATATATATATATATTATGATATTGTATACATACGCTATTTGAAGTGTCCTACTAACGAAATTAGATAATGGACAATTTTTAATGCTATTGCTATTGTGTCTACATATTTGAAGAAATGTCTGTAGGTGACAACCGTAAAGTCTTTTTTTTTTAATTTTCAATATATTCCGGTTGCCCTTTGTCTTTGATTTTACTGCATTGTTTGCCAGTTTATTTATTGGTATTTTTGCTGTCGTTTAAGAAAGATATTTCCATCCATTAATTTATTATGATAGGTTAACCGTTATTTTCAGAAGTACGTTTTTAGCACTGACGAGTAGAGAAAATACGTAGAGTGTACATACTGCTAGTAACTATTACCAGCAAAAACCGTTTGAAGGCATTATCGCCGTAAACAAAGAAAGTTCTTTATCAGAGCTCGTTTTTCCAAATTGATTGCACTAATTATAGACTGTCATTTTGTCAAAGGCCAGTGCTTTCATATATCTTTGATGGTCTTCATAAGCGTTCACACTTTTGAAAAATACCAACCTAATCGCTGAGCATTAACTCTCTATATTGAACGATATCCTTACTTTAAAATTCACTATAATTTGATGGCATAACCAACAAAAGTAATGCTTAATACGTTTGTTCAGGTAGGTAAAGATATACATGTATCGCATTTCGTTCATTGATGGTGGATACGTTAAAAGTTTTCTCGATCCCTTAAGTAGCTCTGGCAAGCTTTATATAGATATATAAATATATATACGTTAATTTTTAATTTCATTCTGCCTATGCCCCCATGTACTCTTGCGGAATAATGTTCAGATAAACTGCGGCCCGCTTTGAAGTTATTCGCTGAACAAACTCCTTAGATTTCTGCGGTCCAGACGGCCTTGTGTCTCTCGCTTGTTTACAGCTTTTAGGACATTGCAGACATGACCGACCCTGAGAGCTCTTTGTCTCACGACGGTAAACAGCTTTAATTTGCTTTTATCTATTTCAACGTATATTAGAAAATTTTCAAAACATTTGATACATGTTGAAGCACAAGCTGAATATTGAAAGATAACCGCAAAGAGTGTTGCGAAAAGCTAGCAAGAAGTGGCTCAAATGAAAGGGACTGCCGCTCAGAAAAATAGCGGACTCTGAACGGGGTGCCTAACATTTTGTGGGCTAATAGACAGTCAGGTTCACTAAGTCATAGACATCCATATTTATGGCTCAAGAGCAGAAATATTCGTTGGTGCGGTTTTACGCGCTTCTTTATAAATAACGTATTTTTAACGCAAGCGAGCTGACAACGTACTATGTTATGCCAAATTCTGCGTTTTTTTTTTTGACATAGTTCAGACTCGGGCTTGATCCGTCAGAATTATAAATGGTCGTCTCACGGCCACTTCCTTCGCGGAATTATTACCATCATCATATTACCAAAGGGCTCCGTAAGCAAGTATTGGAAATCAACTTATTTCTTTATTGAAGTCAAAAGGCTTCTGTATATGAAGCTTTATTAGTTATTTTGTTCTTTCTTAACTATTCTTGGTGTGTTCTCTAACATTTTGTTTTTTGCCGATGCGTGTCATCATTCAAGCCTGATCAAGTTGTTCTAGTTTATCAAAGTTAACTGCGCTAAAGTAATTGTCAATGGTTTCACTAGAATGAAAGTTACGATAAAAGAAAAATTCTAGCGAATTTTATCTTATTGAAATCGACGGAAATAGAAGATAAATTCTCTCTTGGCCAAACATAATGACGCCAGAAAGTTATAACCGCGGAGCATTTTCGAACTTATTATAAACTAATTATTATAATAGTAGATAACACGAAAAAAATGGTGGTAGTTAGGCTTGCGTCTCGATAACTTTAAAAGCTGACTGAACTATCGACACCTCAGGGTATAAATAAGTGACCGACTTATTTTCTTTTTTTATTAATTTTTCCTAGATCTCTTATAATAGCAAAATTCAACTAGTGACTTTCTCCCCACGTGAAAAAGCTTGCTCACAAATGCAGCAGTAGTCCATTTTCGCTTAACTTCTTCCAAGCGGCACAGTCGTGCCTTGCACTAACCTTGCACGCCTAGTACATCTCCAAAGATTAGATCACCTTCGTGTACGAAAGACGTTGACACATTAGTATATACAACAGAGATTTACAAGAAAAAATGCAGAACCGATGATGCAAATTAGACAATCACTAATTCGATCAATATATCTGTCTCTATTCATAAACTTTATTAGGTATATTAGTGCCGTATGAAAGATAAGCATCGGAGGCTTGTAAGCGTTTAGGTCTCAAAGACAACAGGCCTTAAGCAACTTAAAAATCCATATAGATGTTAATAAAACAAGAGGTTTCGCTGTATTCAAGTTCATTTGACGCCTTCGACAATATAATAAAATACTTCGACAAAAAATTCGTGACTTACCCTAAAGATATAGTTTCCCAAATTAAAGTTCCATATTGGCATGCAGGAATATACGGTCTTTCCAAACAAAAGAGCCTAAAGGTGTATTAGTTTTAACTGCTGTCTAAGAAATCAAAAAAATTGGGTTGGTCAGCCCAGCAGAAACACATGTTACCACGCGTAGTTTTAGTATACCGAAAACTGGTTGACGCAAATACTTTTTCCTCAAATAAGACATCAATTTTTTTTCATAGTAAAGTGGGCCGTTTGGAAGCGTGCCCCGATAGACGCTAACCTTTCGAAAAGATTTGAATGAAAAGGTTTTCCTCTGTGTTACTTGATTATATTTCGGTTCTCAAGGGGACCCGCAAAGAAAACGGTACTATCGGATTCAACCTTTTCACGACCTTTTTTCTCGCTACACCTCAAGCAATGACGCCTCGTGTCAATGCAAGCGTGTCCACGAGGCGCTGAAAGTGCACTATGGAAGCATTTTATTTTAACCGAGAGATTAATATTTTTAAAGCGCTACTGCTTGCATGATGGTTATTTTTTATATAATATATTATACGTACAATATGAGCATATATATAAGTACTATCCGCTTGTCACCCTAGCGTCATTACGTCTGCCACGAGTTGCTATTCCTCCAAAAGCTGACAGTTTTGGAATCTCCAGGTACACTGTCCCTGATTGCCTTTGTCTACTATCCCCAGGAGTATAATCGTTATACTCATTTTAATCCCGACAATACCCGTACCTATATCGGTACCCAGTACTGCTTTAGTCAGCTCGTCGACTTGTCGACCTGCGCATGTTATATTGTTTAGCGCGTTTGTCGTTGCCTTGCTTATGTCGTACGTTTTATTCCAACGGATCCAGCCGACGACGGCGACCACGCTTATTTTAAGCAGAGGTCTTTTCGACTATTGTTTCTCTCTCTCGATACGTATTTGTACAGTGTAGTTTAGTACAAGTGTGTGCATGTGTCTTTGCAGCGATGTCTTCTCGTATTCGTCTCCGTTGTGTGTAGATCTGCTGCAAACATCGCTTTCATCGCTGCTACTCGATAGGAGAATGACGACGACGCAACACTTGTGAACACACGTCGCACATTACCGTGCTGTACTATTTGCTTAGACTTTTCATTTTTCGAAAAAGTATGGGGCCATCCATGAATGTGTGCGGCATCGACAATAATGGTGACTATTACGACGACGACGACGACTATGGATCCCGGTCAAGCTCCGAATTCCCCGCTGTTGCAACCGTTACGACGGCTATCGCAGCTGTCTGCACGCCAAGTTTCCGGTTTCGAGCTACGCCGCGTGCGCATCGAACAACAACTGTTAACTGCAGATCCTACTCCTGCTAGTACAACAACAACAACAACAAATGTAGTAGTGGCGGCGGCAGTAGCAGCACCACAATCATCAGTGCATTTGTGAATAGTTGTAATAGCAATAGTGGCTGTACTGCGGTTCGTTTCTGCGGCTGTATCTATGACCACCGCTAGGCACCGCTGGCTGCTGCGTGCGTCGTGACAGCCGTGTAATGTGCAAGTCAGTCACTTCTTCTTTGTATGATTCTCTCACTCAGGGAACTTCAGTTGAGCTCGTATAGACTGCTGCGGACCACTAGCGGGGCGCTAGTATACAATAATTTTATAGCTCACCCAGGCCGCTTCGTCGGGCCGTTTACAGTCTGCGACGGCAAAAGCTACGTACCTGACATTGCCTACGAGCCCCACCTGCTGCTGCGGCAGATGATGATGATGGCCGATGTTATCGTGATGCTGGTGATAGTGATGGCTGCGGCAGAAATGGTGCTGGCTGTGTAGTCACCTAGAACTGGTTGCTAATGGAAACATGTTGTTGCTTAACGATGACAAAAACAGCGGCAATAACGACAAATAGCAACAGCCCTGCAGCCATTAGTCGTTATGAGATTCAGACGCTAGATATAAAAAATGGGGAAACGTAGATATTTTATTGTCTCACTCTTGACAGCAGCAGCCACAACAACAATACCCATATGGAAGCAGCCTGTAGTACAGGCGTGTGGATGCAGAGGTTCGTGTATTCCACGGGAAGCTGTGTTTATTACGAGTAGACATGATATGTACACTCGAACGGGTTCGTAGATAACGGCCAATTCTGTTATCAAAGAAACATTTAGTTGGCCATGTTAATGATCAGTCTAGCCGTCGTAACGCAATCAGGCACGAATACATGTCAGTCTTCAGGGAATTCCGCTATTTTAGTCGTTAACTCTCATTCGATGTATAGCCAAATAAAAGGCATGGGAATTTTTATATATTATTCGGTTATTATCGATGGAATAGTTGAAGAAGTAAAAGTGCTATAATAATATTTGGGCTCAGCGAAAATCTATACCCACGGCGCTTAATGGAAGGCTTCTAGAAACTATAGAGAAATTCGAAAGTCCGAAAGCGAAAGGGTTCTAATCTGCAGGCTAGCAATGATTCCGTCGAAGTTTTGATTCTAAAAAAATGCTGGTCAGCCAGCAGCCGAAAAAAATACGGTGTAATTTTTCTTTAAATAAAACAAAGCTGCCTACG